AAGTCATCAATGAAATCTGAATACCTGTGGAATGTCTGCCCAGCTTTAGCATGCGCAGAGCTCTGAGCAGCCTCAAAACCTGGACAATGCGCCCAACGTTCTCCAGCTCCTGCGTGGTCTGGCTCCCACTTAGGCTCTCTACCAGAAGAGTGATGTAGAAGGGCAAGATGGCAAGGAGGTCTATGATGTTCGGCACCTTTCTTAGGAAGCGACACCTGTCCCGCACACACAGGAAGCGGAGGACAAATTCCCCGGTGAACCAGCTAATGCACACATACTCCAGGATTTCCAGCAGCTGCAGGTCCAGCCAGCTTAACTCAGCTGACATCAGGGCCATGTTAATGATGGACACCACCACGAAGATAATAGAGATGACCCCAAAGATACGGGCAGCTGTGGAAGATCCAGGTTTCTCCAGGATATTCCAGAGCTTCTGGCGAACAGTGGGACAAGGTCCTTGGGAGAAGTCCTGTTCACTCTCATGTTGACTTTCCTGGTCTTCTGTGTCCTTCTTGAAGTCTAAAGTTTCACTCAGCTCTTTTCTTCTGAAGTATCTTGTAGAGAAAACAATTGGTGATTAGTCAAACTTTATTAAAATACAGAAGTATAAGATAATTAAACATGGCAGGGAGGTCAGACTTTTCATTCAACGAAATGGAGAAAAATGTCTATTCATACTTTAGTTAGGTTGCGTCTTATCCACAGTATTCAGAATTTCTCCCTTAGGATTATGATTATCTTTCATCTTTTTATTTTATTTTATTTTATTTTATTTTATTTTATTTTATTTTATTTTATTTTATTTTATTTGAGATGGAATCTCACTCTGTGGCCCAGGCTGGAGTGCTGTGGAGTGATCTCAGCTCACTGTAGCCTCCACTTGCCAGGTTCAAGCGATTCTCCTGCTCTAGCCTCCTGAGTAGCTGGGATTACAGGTGTGTGCCACCACCCCGGGTAATTTTTGTATTTTTAGTACAGACAGGGTTTCACCATGTTGCCTGGGAGTGGGGGGTCTCGAAGTCTTCGCCTCAAGTGATCCACCCGCCTCGGCCTCCCAAAGTGCTGGGATTACAGGCGTGAGCCACCACCACCGGCCTGGATTATAATTTTTAAAATGACACTTTCTTAGTAGAAGTTTATACATAGCAAAGCTACTTTGGATTAATACATTTTATTACCCATTTTCTGGTAACAAGAACAGATGTTTGGCAGATGGAACTTTTTTGTGTGTGTAAAGGAAATGTATTCATGAAGAAATGGTAATAATAGCAAGATAACCTCAGAGTTCCACAATCTTTCAATCAAGGGACCAACCTTTTATCTTCTATATTTAAAACAATTCTCCATTCAAGTTTTACAGTCAGTGTTCTAGGTTTGATAAATGATAATGCTGCGTGCCAAATCTTTTATCCCTATGCATGCATCTTTTGGACCATGGCTTTTCTGATTCATTTATTCAGTCACCAAATATTTATTGTGGGCCTGAAGTCCCTTGCCTTATACGTTAAATTAGCATACTCAAAAAAGGGAACAAAGAGATTCAAAAAGTTCTATTCAAAAGTTGGCCATGACGCTTTCCAGTCCCCCACCTCCACCCCACCTGTCAACCCAGAAGTGGCCACACCTTATTGCTAGGCCTGGCTCCAGTGAAGCTTATGTAAAGCCTCAAATCTACCTGTGCCTTCCTCTCTTTCTCTGCCGCGCCCGCCTCCCCGCCCAGCCGCCGCGTGCCTCCGGGGTACCTGTCCCTGCAGCAGGAATCGATGCTGAGCTCATCGATGCCCCAGTACTGGATCTCCTGCAGGAAGGAGAGCGCGCACAGCTGCTCCATGACATGCAGGCGGCCGGTGCGGTAGTAGTGCAGGACATAGCGGAACGCCTGCGAGCTGCGGTCGAAGAAGTACTCGTTGTCCACGGGGTTGGCATCGTCGCAAAGCTCCAGAGGGCTGGGCACGGCGGCCAGGGCCCCAGGGCGGCGGTAGGAAGCCACCACCACGGCCAGCTTGCCAAGGCGCGTGTGCGGGAAGCAGGACAGCGCCTGCTGCGAGAGCACGAAGCGGCTGCCGCCTACATTGACCGTGAAGCAGTCCCCGAGCGCCAAGGGCTCCCCTTCACCCTCGCTGCAGAAGACACTAGAGTCCAGGGAGGTCAGGGAGCCGCTGTCCAGCGGCGAGTCCAGCAGCGCTCTGCCGCTGGAAGGCATCTCTATCCCAGTCGCCGCGGCCTGAGGGCGCCACAAAGTTGGGGACACGCCGGAAGCGTTGGTCCCGCGAGGGCGGTGGCACGGCCCCTGGTGGCGACCGGGATTCCCCGGGCTCCCGAAGGGGTTACCTCTCCCTGGCGCACTCTCTCCACCCGCTGTGCTCTTTCCTCCTCCTGCCGCTAGGGAGCCGCGAGTGCGCGGAAGCAGCGCACAAGTGGCAGAGAAAGGAGACTGGGAGCAGGGGAAGGGTCGCTCTAAGAGAAAGGATCAGGTGAGGTCCAAGCCCGACACAGTCCCTGTGCACACTGCCGGTCGCCCTGGCCCTTCTCAAACGCCGTCACCCCGCCTCCCAACTTCGCAATTGCGATTCCCAGCCCAGGAGGTGTACAGATTGAATGACTCGCTACTTGGTGGGTGGAGGGGTTGGGGAAGGGAGGAAGGAGGGAGATGTGGGGCGGAGGAGGAGGAAGAAGAGAGAAGATGACTCTTAGCTGAATGCAAGCAAGCAAGCAAGGAGGATGGCGAGACTCACTCCTGCCCGCAGGAGACCAAAACAAAAAGTTCAGAAAGCAAAGGAAGTGGTAACCGGGTCCCTTCCAACTTGAGACTTTATATTCCTCCCTCTTCTTTTACTGCTGCCTCATAGGCCTCCCCGGGGGTGTTCGCTGGGGATGTGAGCAGGTGGGGGAGGGTGCTCTGGGTGAGGGGGCCGCACCATTTTCTCCCAATTCACTCTCATTCTAGTCTGATGATCACTGACGCTCCATTTTCTTCTCCTGTCTCCCTTAGGTTTTGACCTCCTGGTTAAGAAACAAGAATAATTAAGGATGACTTTTTATTGAAGCCCCAGTGGGTCACTAAGAACTAGGAATGTCACTGTCAGTTCCCACCCTGTCGAGTGTACACCTCGTGTTGAGGCACTTTGTTGAGGCACCCTTCCTTTTAGCCATTTCTGTCCCTACAAGTTTCCCAGAGAGCAGGTGTTCTGAGCACAGCGGAGCTCTCGTTTTAGAAGGAAAGGCAAAAAGGCAAGGAATAGAACAAGCGTGGGCTGGGGCAGGAATTTAAATAGTAACGACGGCCTCCCTCGGTAAAGGGAGAAGCCGAGGCCAGCGCCCAGGTGAGACTAGAAGTGAACCCACCGGGCCGCTGGAAGCTACGCTCCATTCAACCTGTTGGACTCGGGGCGAGGAGGTGGGGGCGGGAGGGAAGAGCAAGTGACTCACCTGCAGCTCCTGGCACATCTGATCTGCGCACAACCGGCGCCGCAGGTAACGTACCCTTCCTTTGATCCTCTTGGTCTACACGTGAGGTCTGACTCGACCCGTCCAGGAGGGAAACTGTGCTCCAACTGAGCTCTACTCAGCGCCTGCTGCCTCGCCTTTCCTCCACCTCCCTCCGGGCTCCTGGACCCTGGACTTAGGCTAAGCGCGTCCGCCCCGCTCGCTGTAGCCCGGAGAGCAGCCCGCCCAGTGCTTCCAGCACCAGCAGAGGGGAGTGGCAGGATCTAAGGGAGGGAGGTGAGACGGCGGGGGTGGGGGCGGGGGGAGTGAGGTGCCTGGTGACACTGAATATTACATTCATCCTGAATACACTTGCAGAATTACTGCATTTGATTCCCGTTTCCCTGGATCTGTGCCTTTGCAAATGTTCCAGAACAAAATTTCCAACTTGATCAGTGTGCTAAACTTGAGGTTAGGGCAGTTATATTAACTGCTTTATTTGGCATGGTTCAAGGTTTTCTCATTTTCAGCAGGCATCTCAGAATCATGCATTTTTCCAGTCTTTGCCAGAGAGCGTGAACCACACTCATCTTTGTTGTTTTCTAGCATGTATATACAGAATACATATTGGAAAGCATATATTATGTATACACTTACATACATAAGTATATATTAGAAAGTATACACACACACACGCATATTAGGTAGTATATATAAAGACATAAGCAGGCAGCCTGATGTGGTAGAATAAGCTTTTTCATAGATTGGACAGAAACGTTACTGTTTAGTTCTAACTTTGCCAACTGGCTGTGGGATGTCTAGCTATCATTTACTTCGAGGGTCTTAGTGCCTTCCTCAGTGAAATTTCAAGTTTTAATAAAAACACCCAACATTTAATGGGTGCTTACTTTATGCCAGGAAATTTGTAGGCTCTTTATTCATGCAGTACCTTATTTAATCATAATGACAACACTATGAGGTAGCATATACACATTTTACAGAAAGGAAAAGTGAGACACAGGGAAATTAAGTGATTTACAAAGGGCCACACAGTTCAAATCAAACCCAGGACTACATGTCAGAGGCTGTCTTCATAAACAAAATGCTAGAAACATTATTTTTTTGGTTGATAAATCAGTGTGGTTGCTTTTGTTTTCTTTGCAAGTTTCTAATGAAGGACAGGAGTTTAATTAGGTATTTTCATCACTCTTTCAACAAAAGTTTACTGAGCTTTCACTATATACTGACACTATTCAGGGCACTTGCGATATATCAGTGAAGAACAGACAAGATCTCTGTTGTTGTGGAGCCTATAGTAATCCTCTGAGAATAAATGGGGGACTTCAATAAGCTTTTTTAAAGTATAATATTTACAAGCATGGTTCTTTTGACAGCCATCCATTTGGTTAACTTCTCTCCATAAAGAACTCTTCCCTACAGTAAATACAGAGATGCTAGATTTATCCCAGTCAATAGTTCATCATTCTGTATAGGTACTGTATTGTTATTATTTTTTAATATAATGGAGCTTTCCCCTGCACAGCAAGAAAACTCCTCCAACATCTCAATTAGAGATTTTTTAGGTATTGAAAAAAAGTAAAAGGCCATAGTTCTGTTAAGCCTTATTCATACCATGATTAACAATAAAAGTCTATACTAGCTTTACAGATTATGGTGAAGAAAGAGGAAAGCGTTCAAAGGAGAATGACAGCTTTAGGTGAGGAGAGAGATCTTGGTCAGGTAACCAGAGGTTAGTGAAAGATGACTGAGGCTTCCAGGTCTCCTCCCCTGCCACTAAGCCACTGAACCTCAGTTGTGATGAATGTTGTCCTGTAGAATGTTATAATAACCTCTCCTTAAGAGTCAGGCTCTCTGCTACACATCTGACTTCTCACAATGATCCTATGATGTAAGCACTGTAATCCTTAGTTATGGATTTCAACTTGGATGCTCATAGGCACTAAGAAAGTAACTTTCTACCTTACATAGTGAATATGTGAAGGGGTATGTGGAAGGCTTGAAACAGGTCCTTTCTGACGCCTGACTCTGTCTCAACTGCTAACAGCCTAAATGTTTCAATTGGGCATTGATTGTAGTTATAGCAATTGACACTAATCAAGGCAATCATAACTAGATGGATGATTAGTCAACATGGAGTATATAAATATAAATGACCCCTTTTTAAAATATAGAGTCTTGAGTAATACAAATTCCCACCTGTGCTCTGTGCCTTTCCCTTAAGTCTGTTGATTTTCCTTCCTTAATGGCCCAGATTTTAGTAAGAGACTCCAAGGAAGAGCATACCATAGAATAAGAAGGGAAATATGTCCACTTCAAGGATACTTCTTTTAGCCCTAATCCTGACCTGAGGTATAACCTGAGGTATGTCAAAGGAGAACTGCTGATAAGTAGTTGGAGGTGGTGAGGTCATGCTTTCCATTTCATTTCTACACAGCATGGGAGGAATGTGATTGTCATGTGGGAGGTTGCTCAGTACTGCAATGTAAAAACCCGACAGTCTAAAGACTTTGGGTATATTCCCTAGTCATCAGATGTTATATTCGAGTGATTTTCCATTAAGATTCTTGTTATGAAATACTCTACTTGCTTTTGGCTTCATCTATCAATTCTACACATATCGACTTGAATATGGAATCTCCAGCGACAACTAGTATTTTTAATTCTTTCCATTTTTATGAGTATTTTAAAGTTTATTAATGAACAGTGTATATTCTTAAAAGTTACAAATAAGATCAAAAGAAAAATCATGGCATACTTTAAACATCTAACTCAATAACAGTTATGAAAATAAAAGTTAAAAGTCATTTTAAGCTTATTAGAAAATCCTACTGTTAAAAATATGTAACACTTCATTTAGGTTTTGAAGAATTCATGAGAATATTTATGTTAATATCATATTCTGTTTAACTGTGATACTTTTGAATAATACATTATAATATTTCTGTGAAATCATTAATGCTTATCTCTAATATGAATGTTTAAAACAATTACACAGATATGATCGTAAGCCATTAAAATTTTTTAGGAAAATGTAAATTCATTATTAATTTATATCCAAAATATCACAACCTTTTTTTATAATTAGATAGACATGGGAAATATAATGAGTGAATAATCTTGAATAAACAGCTTTATAAAATTAAACTTAAGTAAAATCTAGATTTTCATTTTTAATTCCCTCACTGTAGTTTCATACATTTACACTAAATTCATTTAATTTTTATCATTCATCAACAATGCAGACAATGTTTTGTGTGAGGTATGCGTATCTTTGGCTCTGTCTTTGATTTCTCAGGAACTGACAACCAGATAGATGTATCAATTGTGATGATGTTTAAAAATGTCTTTGTGTGTGAACAAAATGACTTTATCATTTTTTCCTTCATTGCACTGGGATATGTTTAAAGGTAAAAGAAAATCTGACAAATTCTATCTATTCATCTTTCATGTGCCTTCTAGGCGCTTGGAATAAATCCTTCCAACTCTATGACAGCCCACTCTAATGCAGAATTTAGCTTAATGTGGGCTTGTTCTGGATTTCTTCCAAGGGAAGGCAATTATCTTTGGAAGTACCCAAGAAATCATTTTTATAGCCTAGTCTGCTACAGAGATAGCATGATGGGTTGATGACGGTGATGGTGAGGATAATAATATGATAATAATAGCTGTTGTCTTTATGTATTTCATCCCTGTTCTGCCTTCTATGAGCTGCGTGACCTTAACAAGTTTCTTAAACCCTGTAAGTCTCATTTTCCTAATCTGTAAAATGGGGATAACAATAGTACTTTATGTTATTGTTTTAAAATTAAATGAGATAATCCATGTAAAACTTATACTGCAGTGTCATTCTTATCACTTTTGTTATTGTTATGTGTCAGGAATATTTTTATACTTCCCGCTACCCCCAAGTACCTAACTGCAAGACGCCTAACCTGTGAGATGATAGGCATTATGTTAAGAATTTTACAAACATTATCTCATTTCTTTTATATTTTACATAACCCAACAATGAAGGTAATATTATGATTTTGGTTTTCCAGATGAGAAACCAGAATCAGAGTGTTAAAATAATTTTCCAAGTGTCAAACAGATAGTAGATATAGATTTGAACACGTTTGTTTGACTCAAAGCCTTTATTCATTGAAGGGCATTGATATAAAAATAATGTGATGATGAGAAATCACTGTTAGACATTTTCCACTCTTCTTTGCAAATAATTTTGAGAAAGGAACATTTCTATTATATGCTCCAAATAATTAAGAAATGACTCTACTTATCAGCAATAACCAACATATGACTGTGATTTCACATTTAAATAATTCAATTTTTTAAAATAATCATTCTTCAAAAGAGATAGGCAATCAGATTGATCATTAAATGATTTTTCACTTTGTCACTACTATATGCCAAAGGCATGTTGAATTTTTCTTGAATTATCAAAAAATGCATAGACTCAGGATACTTATTGCTCACCAGATTAATTTTTATAATTATGTTGAAATTAAGCTTTTATAAACAAGATTCAGAAGCAGTGGAGCAAAAGCATCTCAAGTTCTCTGCTCATCATGTTCTGGGAGCTGTTATGTGAACTCAGTATTGAAGTTGAAAATTCCAATTAAATACTTTTTACTCAACTCTATCAAATTCCGTTATTTTGATAGAGAAAGGTTGAGTCAAATGGAACCATTAAAAACTGTGCCTCTCATTTGAGTGTATATGATTTATTAATACTAGAAGCAAAATTGCCTGTAGATTTATTCCTTATTCTATTTAGTACTTTCCTTCGTTATTAAGGAACTCAGTAAACTTGAGAACTTCGTCTTGTAATTGGAAGAAAGGTAATCTTTGCGCTCCATACTGTTACGAGGTTTTTGTTATTGTTGTTTTGAGATGGAGTTTCACTCTTGTCGCCCAGGCTGGAGTGCAATGGCGTGATCTCAGCTCACTGCAACCTCTGCCTCCCGGGTTCAAATGATTCTACTCCTGAGTAGCTGGGATTACAGGTGCCCGCCACCATGCTTGGTTAATTTTTTGTATTTTTTAGTAGAGACAGGGTTTCACTATGTTGGCCAGGCTGGTTTCGAACTCCTGACCTCATGATTTGCCTGCCTTGGCTTCCCAAAGTGCTGGGATTACAGTTGTGAGCCACCATGCCCATCCCAGAAGGTTTTTAATGTTAATTTTCCTTGGTTTTCCCTATGAGA